ACGCCCGATGCCTGCACCCCACCTCGGCGCGGGGGGGGCGCAGCGCCCTATGGGTAGCTCCGTCGCGGCGGCGGCGTGCGCGCGCGCCCCCCCCGCCAGGCCCCCGCCGCGGCGCCCCGCCGGCAGCCCCCCTCGAGGGCCGGCGTGCCGCCGGAGCTCGCGCGGGCGCCGGCCTCGGCCTCGCGGGGCCCGACGAGGCCAGGGCGAGGAGAGCATTGCCCAGGCAGCGGGCGTCTCGAGAGAAAGTCGGGGCGGAGGTTCTTCGCAGGTTTTGGCCTCTCGGGGCCCTCTGTGGGGCCTCGGGACCGCCAGACCACGACGCGGGATGAAAACCGGTCCCGGAGAAGAGGTTGGGGGCCCGTGTCGGATGTTTGGGTTATGAAGTCGGGCGTGTCCTTCTGCAGGAGGAGCATTTCAATCAAGTCTACACAATGATGATCACGATGATGTGGTCGATGAGTGATCGATTCTTCGATGCTTATGATCAAAAGATTCAGGGGACGATGTTTCGATGATCCTTGATCTATGTTTGAGTATGTTTTGACCAGTTCTCACTTCTCGCCCCCAATCCGCCTGTGGGGGGACATGCCCGACCTGAGGACAGCATCGGGCGGGGCCGACTCGAGGACCTGACGACGAGCTCCGACGGCTTCGGGGGACGTCTCGGGCGCCGCGGCCGTCTCCGAGCGCTCCCCGGAGCGCTCTCTCTTCCTGAGAGCGTGCCGAGGAGCGCTCTGGGCGCGGACGTGGCCTCGGCCAGGGCCCGCCCGAGGCCGGGGGCTGGGGCGATGGGCACGGCCTGCGGAGAGAGTGCCCAGACCCCCTCGGGGGGCACGAGGGGATCGCTGCAGAGGAGAGGGAGGAGGAGGAGGAGGAGGAGGAGGAGGAGGAGGAGGAGGAGGAGGAGGAGAACGAGGAGAACGAGGAGGAGGAGGAGGAGGAGGAGGAGGAGGAGAACGAGGAGGAGGAGCAGGAGAAGGAGGAGCAGGAGCAGGAGCAGGAGGAGGACCTCCTCATCTCTCCC